TTCTGTATATTTTTTCGGTGATGTTGTTTTGATACAGATATATCACATTGGCATGCATACTAATTGGCTCTAAAATTAATATAATTAATAAAAATGATATTGTACATTAAAATCTCATTTAAAGCTCGTTTGTTGATACTCCGTATTAATTAATTATAAGGGCCGAATTCGCAGATATTAGTGAAATTCTAGCTGTTGAGTGAAGTAAATTAAAGGAATTGGCTAAATTTATTGGATTAAGATATAAGTTTCTAAGACTTAGATGCTCAAACTTGCCTAACATTGCTATTCATGAAGCGTAAAAGAGTACTCCCTTTGGCTCGTAAAATTTTTGCACCTTTTTTTGGGTTGTCTCAAAAAAATCTTCTCACTTACTCCCTCCGTCCCAGAATTTATTTTCATAGTACAAATGACACACAGATTAAGAAAATGAGAATTGTATGGTGGAAAGTTGTATAGAGGAGAGAGAAATGTGTAAGAATTGATGTGAACCACAAATTCTTTGCCAAAAAGGGAAATAGAAATTCTTTTTAGGACAAACGAAAAAGGAAAGTTGGAAGTAATTATGAGACGGAGAGAGTATTATTTTTGAAAAAATTGTGTGGTTCACATTCATTTACTTTTTTCTTACACAATTACAGTCATACATTTTCACTTTATTCACACTTCCTAAATTTATGAGACAAGTACGTTAGTGTGAAAAGAATTTTTGGGGACGGAAGTAGTATTTAGAAAAGGACTGAGCTAAAAGCTACCCCCCTACCTCTCACTTATATAAACAAGAGCTTCATAAATTAGCTTCCTATCCTCTTCTCAAACACAAAAATGGCTCCTTCTCTTCGTTCCTTCGCAGCTATCTTCCTCTTTGCGATGCTTTTCATGGCCACCGGTTTGCCTTCCTAGCTTTATCTTACTCTTACTTTCCATTTAATTAATTAATTACTAAAATAAATCGGACCTTTTTGAACCTTTTTTAATGTTCTTGCACAAAATACCCTGTGGTTTTCAAATGCACCGTATCCTACACATGAACGTATACTTCTGTCCTATATTTAGTATCTTTATTACATTATTACAGGATTTCTAGTCTGGGGTGAAATTTTTTCATGAGTGTAGGAGGTGAAAATTTTTCGCTAGTGCAGCGCGGAGAATTTTTCAGCTATTGTAGCGGGGTGATTTTTTTTTTGCTAGAATATGGCTCTGCGGCAATTTTTTATTCAATTTTTTTATTAATACATACACGACGACATTTAAATTAATATTATTACATTTTAAGTTTAGACAATGGAAAAATAACTTTGATTTTATAATTGAAATGCTCTAAAAAGTATAGATACATTAAATCGTAAGAAATAGCAACACAAAGAAAAGTTATTTGAAGATAAAGAGTTTAAAAGGTATACATCCACCAATATTTTTTAAATAACTTTTGTCTTGTTTAACCCCATGAATCTTTATCAGAATAAAAAATTGGTTTTTTCATTAAATTTTTTGTCTAACAAAGAGGGTGTTTGTGAGTCATGAAGAGTTTTTTTATTATTACAATCGTATGTATGACATTATTATTTTTAGAATAATATTATATTGTTGATTCATATATATGGTGCATATTATATTTACATTAATGCTAAAATAAGTTAAAGTTTATTATCTATGCAATAATTAGTTTGTCGAATGTAACAAATAAATGAATTGTGTAATTTAATGTCAACAAAAATTTATATTTTGGATTCACTTCACATTATCTAAAAACTATTTAACTATTGTGTCTGGTAGTTAATATCATTTGATATTTTACAAATTTGAGTACTAATTATTTAATAAAGATAACTAAATATTACAAAACTAGGAATTTTTATATAATAAATATCACAAGTCTCGAACAATGATCAGAGTTGTTCTATTATATTGTTTATTTGCTTAGGTATGTAAATTATTTTAAACGTTTCTTCTTTTAAATCTCCAATTAAGTTTTACATTATGTAAGGCTATATGCGAGTTATTAATTTTGAAAACTAAAAGTTAAGGGGGGCAAACACATATATATCTAATTAAAGTATGAAAATTTTTATGAAAATATTACATATATAATGGAAAATTTTAAAAGTCCAAGGGGGTGGTCACCCCCACGCCCCCCTAAATCCATCCCTGATTATCACAATCAATTTGTGTGTTTCAAAATAAATTCAACTTTTTATTTATAAATATTTTATGCTTCATATTGTTTCTTTTTCTTCTGTTGGAATTTTTTTCAATCAGAAGAGCTTTACTTTAATATACTCCTATTGCAAGAAATGTGTTGCTCCGTATGACTCATATTTAAAGAATTTTCGCTTTAACTTCTATATCTACTATCAGTTTATCACCATATTGTTTCATCTTCATTTTAAGCTATAATAACAACTTTATTTCACTGCTTTGTTCTGACTTTTATATTGTTTCAATTTCCATTTTTAATCATATACGGAGTAATAATTATATATTTTAACTATATTTCATTTGGCCATTTTTTTCTTCACAAAATTGTATTTTGAAATTTTCATTAGTACAATATTCCGCGTGAAATCAAAAGTTGGGTTTTTAAAAAATAATAATTGGCTGATAAGCTAAAAATGGGGATTTCTAAAGCTTTTAAATTAAAAGTAATAGTGACCCAATGGTAGATCTAGTAAAAACAACCCATTGTGAAAAAATGAGAATAGATATGGTTAATTAATTAATTGTCTAATGACTGATTTTTTCAAAAAAAAAAAAATACTGAAATGGTACCAATTTACAAAACATGACTAATAGTTATCATAGTATAATCTCACGCGACGTAGTAATTTAAGCATAAAAAGTGAATGTATGATTAAGTTACTATAATAGTTACGGAGTACTACTCTTAAGAGACCATATTTTTATAAAAATATTTGTTTTTGTCATATATATGCATGTAATTATTTCTTAATAATTGGGCTTGCAATTAATTATTTGTTTAAATAATGCATGCAGAGATGGGAGGCGGCGGAATAATGGTGGCGGAAGGCAGGATGTGTGAGACCGGAAGCGGTAGGTTCAAGGGGGCATGTCTTCGTGACAGCAACTGTAGGACGGTGTGCCAGGGCGAGGGCTTTACTGACGGCGACTGCCAAGGAGTGCGCCGCCGCTGCCGCTGCAAAAAGCCTTGCTAGTTACTATTAATTTGGTTTCATTAAGCAAGCATTATCTTTTAATTTACTTCGTATGTACCACTGCTTTTGGCTGGACATACGATGGCTAAATAAAGGATGCAAAATCCCAGCATTTTAATTTCCTGAATAAATTATAAAAATAAATAAAGGTTGTGTAAATTGGACCAAACATGGAGTGTGCAGCTACCTAATTAAGCTTTTGTTGGGCTGGCTCCATCTCATGGTGTTTGGTTTGTTGTACGTCGTCGTCCTGATAAATTAGACCAAACATGTATTCCTTTTTTCCATTATCTTTCACTTTTGTTATTATGTCATCGAAAGTTATCTTCATATTCTGTGTTTTACTCTGGTTTGTTGGGTGAAATTCTTCTAAAAATGTTCTATCACTTGTCTAATAACGAGGCCAAAACTTTTATTCTGCTTATCACGTTTATCAACCAACTTTTTTCAATAAACACGTATCTTTTCCTTTCGCACGCTGAATTGTGTAATAAGCAAAATAAGTAATTTTCTGGTTGTATTGGCTGAAGTTACTGTAGATGACCATTTTAGTGAATAACATTTTCATATCATTTTCATATTATACTATTTTTCTTTATATAAACATATAATCGGTCAAAATTAGAAGGCATTGACTTGAAAAGTCAAGTTTGGCTAACTAAAATAGGACGGAGGGAGTATAATTTTTTCTTTATTTTATTAATAAAATATAGTTTGAAAATAGTATTTTTAGTGAATAACATTTTCATATCATTTTCATATTATGCTATTTTTCGTTATATAAACATATAATCGGTCAAAATTAGAAGGCATTGACTTGAAAAGTCAAGTTTGGCTAACTAAAATAAGACGGAGGGAGTATAATTTTTTCTTTATTTTATTAATAAAATATAGTTTGAAAATAATTTTTAAATCAGCAGAATCAACCAATGCAACCACTTCACTACTTCAGTCATAACTTTATAAATTTCAGAAGAATCGGCCAAATAAGCCGATTTTCGTGCTACCAAACGGGCTCTATGTATATCTTATCGGCTGATAAGACGAGATCGATTGTTTTTTCGCTGTCTTTTGAAAAAAATGACATTTTGAGCATGCTAACACTCTAATCGATTAAATCGTTTGATTCTGGTGAAATTTATGAAGTTCTGGTTGAAGTGACTAAATTGGCTGATTCTGCATATTTATTAAAAAATTATATTTAAAATATAATTTACTAATAAAATAAAGAAAAATATATATTAAAAATAGCTAAAATGATCATCTACCATAACATCAACCGATACAGCCAAAGAAAAGTAACTTCAACCTTATTTTTTCTTATTTTTACACAATTCAACGCACGTAATCAAAAGTTACGTTTTTGGTGAAAATTTTGGGAAGATGAGTCTGATAAGTTAAAAAACATAGTCACCAAACGGGCTTTGTGTATTACTAACATAGTTTTCAGACAAAGTATGAATAATTATGTTTTTTGGACAAAAATATGACTAGTTCACTGTGTACAAGTAACATGACAAGAGTCACTATAAAGTATTTGAGAGTGATAAGTCACTACTAGATAATGAGTCACTGAATATGTCACCTGAAAAATTTATAAGTCATATTTTTGTATTTTGAATTTAATTTGGTAATAATTATGAAAAAATGTCTTACCTTTTATGCAGTGACAAGTGTTAAGATTTAAAAAGAATTGAAATTATGTACTCCGTGTTACTACACCATAGTAACATTCACCTTACTTTTTCTTATTATTACATGATTCTGCACGCTAAATAAAAAATCATGTGTTAGGGGAAAATGTTAGATCATAGTCTGATAGGCTGAAAAACAGGATCACCAAACGGTTTCTTAGTTAATTAAAAACCACCTCAAAAGAAGTAAGTTAGCACTACCAAACAAAATCATACTCCCTCCGTCCATTAAAGGGTTGACAGGTTTGACCGGACACGTAAAATAATAAAGTGAAAAATGTGTGGTAGATATTCGTACGATGGAGATAAAAATAATATGAGCCACAAATTTATTGATTAAAAGGTAGTGACAAAGTTTTTGGAATAATCAAAAAAGAAATTTGACAAAGTATTTGTCTCGAATTTTGACTCGAATTCCTATTCCAAATTGAGTTTGACTTAATTTGGCACGGACTCACGCTTTGAGTGACTGTTGGAGGGAAGCGTATATGGTACAGTCGGTTGTACAGTGCCAGCCGTATAGCCGGTGGCAAACTTTAATTTTGGTGAAAATCATTATTTCGCTTAAATGAGCATCGATGCAATTCTCATGAGCATCAAGTCTGTTCTTTTGAGTATTAGGAGTATCATGTTTTTTATTTCTTGAATATGAGTAATCTGCCAAGTTTGGAAAAAACTGTCATGTTTAATAGCTTAGTAATGCTAAACTTGACAGAAATTTACTCCTATTTAGACAATAAAAACATATACTCCTATCTTGGAATTTCAGACCGTTAGTGGTTGGGTCCTTTTTAGCCAAACGGGTCAACGTTAGTAAACGGTGCTGTCGGGTTGCCAGCTCATGCCCAAGTTCATGTCGCTTCTTCCTCGCCTCAACTCCTGAGCTTCGTTTTCAGCCGGATTATCACGATCCAGAAACATTTTCATCTTCACTACAGTCGAGAAACGATACAAAACATAAGAAACAGTTTCTGCACTGGTTGTCTATTAGCTTCGTCCAGCACTGCTTAAAAAGGGGAAACAGAGATAACAATGGCGTTTCTGTTTGGTCTTGTGATAGGAGTCGTCGTTGGCCTAGCTTTGATAGTCGCGTTTGTGAAATCTGAGAACGCCCGATCCAAACGCCGTTCTGAGCTCGTAAGTTGAACTGCTTTCTGAATCTGCTAATTTCTAATGTGTGCTTTTGTTGTTTGAATTTCTGGGATTTATTGTGTGTCGTGTTTTTGAACTTGAAACTGAAGGCCAATACGGTTGCAGCGTTCGCAAGGATGACGGTGGAGGATTCTAGAAAGATTTTCACCCCGGACCAGTACCCTTCGTGGGTTGTCTTCTCTAAGCGACAAAAGGTGATATCTTTGGTTTTGTTTTCACTCTCTTTTTTAACCTACATGTTTGTATACTTATAACTGTTTCTACTTTTTGGAAATGAATGTTCAGTTGAAATGGCTCAATAGTCATCTTGAAAAGATATGGCCATATGTGAATGAGGTTAGAAGTGCTTGTTGCATATTCCACCCGTGTTTAAGTATACAATTTACTTATTAATTTATTTATTTCTGTTCATGGGGGTGATTTAGGCAGCCTCTGATTTGATCAAGATGAATGTTGAGCCTGTTCTTGAGTCATACCGACCGGTGGTTTTAGCCTCATTGAAGTTTTCAAAATTCACCCTTGGCACTGTTGCCCCCCAATTTACAGGTTGAAATGACTGCATTTTGTCCATTTAAACAAGCCCTTAGTTGTTAACCTGGATGCGTTTGTGACGTTTGTTTGTGTTTGCAGCTATTATGAAATAATTTAGGAGAAACTTTTTTATTGTTTTATATTCTGGAAGCCAGGGGCGGAGCCAGGGCATTGGGTCAGACTGGGCCGGTACAAAGAATATTATTGGAAAAAAATTTACACGAAATTTTTACACTAAAAATATTGGCATTTTTTAAATTTGGGGTGGGCCAGGGCCTAGCCTGGGCACCCCCTAGCTCCGCCCCTGCTGGAAGCCCTTTAGAATTGCAATTGTCGTTGTTTCCTCAAGTGTGTTATTGATTGCTCTTCATATTTTCTATTAATTTTATTTACCAAGTACTATTTTCTCTTTGGATTTGTTATATTTGACCATGCATATCGTATTTGAAAGGTAGAGTTTATTCAATTTCACTTAGGTTGAATTGCTTTATCCTGATCCTATTAACTAACGATAGTATTCTCCAAGGTATATCAAACACTTCAAGAACCAACTATTAAGTATTAATCGAATCCCATTACTTTCTTCAGGAGTAGAAATCATTGAAGATGGAAGTGAAAGTATTACCATGGAGTTAGAAATGCAATGGGATGGAAATCCTAATATAATACTTGATATTAAGACTTATGTCGGTGTTGCACTACCAGTGCAGGTAACTCCATTGTTGCGTATTAAAAGATCCAGATGTACTCATGTACCTCAGTCATTAATCTTTACACTAAAATGTTACTACTTCTCTCCCAAAGCGATAGTCTTGCTTTACTATTCACCGGTCAACCGAATTTACCTTTAATCACAAATTATATGTTTCAATTTTTTTATCATATTCAACTTATGTTTATGCGATCCAATACAACTTTTAATGTAGTTCTAAATATATAAATTTTAATGGTTAATTGTACATACAATTTTGTCTGGGAGAGGTTAACTTTTTCACCAGTCAAACTCAAACCTCAAAATCCGAAACATGACTATATATTTGGGATAGAGGTACTATTTTTTTTTCAGGTTTGGATTTACCCCCATATCTAACTTGCAACATAGAAAATGCTCTTGAATTCACCTTTTACAACCCGTAACCAATCCTAAAAACTTCAAGCGCATTTGGGTCCGGGTGATTTGGGTTGGTTTTGTTGAGTTTGGGTTATCCAATCTTGATCTTTTATATGGGGTAACTTACAAGTAATAACCCCCCTTTGCCGAAGTTGAAATAAGCTTTGAGTAAATTATAAACAAGGCTTTGAGTAAATATTAACTAGATGATGGGAACATCTCTTCTAAATCCATGCATTTGCAACTGTTGATATAAAATCATGAAATATAAATAATATTAATCATTGAATTGAATATGTTATGTATTATTCATAGTTTGTATTATTCATAGTTTGTATAGTGTATTTAAAACTACAGTCCATATTCGGATTCAAGGGTTAATTAGTTCAATACCTCCTCCATCTTAAAAAGAGTCTTGCTTTTAGTATTGATTTCAGTATTACAGATATGACTCTTTTTGAGATGGAGTTAGTTTAATGTTTTCTACAACATGAATCTTATGCTGATATCTATTTCCAGCATCTTGTCTTTTTAGATTCTATTTTAATTTCATATGTTTTCTGTAAATGTGTTGTTAATTATTCTTTATATAGGTGAAAAACATTGGTTTTACTGGGGTTTTCAGGCTGATCTTCCGCCCACTTGTTGATGAGCTTCCTTGCTTTGGAGCAGTTTGTGTATCTTTAAGACAGAAGGTGCTATATAAACTTGGAGTTCAACTTAGCCATTTTTATATCTAAATTAGTCCCATATATTGCTTTGGTATTTTTATCAGTCTCTATGTAGACACTAAGTAGTGGTGACCCATGAGATGATAAACTTTGTTGAAATGAAATAATTTTTAAAATGTAAGTAGGATTAAATAATTAATGACTTATAACCACTTAGCTTGTCAAATTTTAAAATGTGTAACTTGATTAAACATTATACGAAGTATTATTTTTCAGAATGGGGAACCAATTATAAACTATACAACAACATCCAAGCCTTAGTCCCAAAAGATATTGGGGTCGGCTAACATGAATCGATACATGATATCACAACCAAAAGGAAAGGAAGGAAAAATAAAATAAAAAGATAAGCTATTATGAAAAGATAATATAAAAAAGATGAATATATATAAAAATGATAAAATAAAAAGGCTGCAAATAATGCATATATATATAAGGATAAAAAAAACTAGGGAAAAAAAAAGATGAGGGAAAAAGATTATCAAGATCACTCCTTCACGTGAATACCCGCCCTCCACTTAGTTCTCTCCAAAGTCATGCCCTCATCCAACCCCAGAAGAAGCATATCACTTCGAACTCCCCTAACCCACGTCTGTTTGGGTCTTCCTCTCCCTCTCTTCCCTGCCTCTTCTCCACACATCTCAACTCGCCTAACAGGTGCATCACTCGGTCTTCTACGCACATGACCAAACCACCGTAGGCGCGACTCCCGCATCTTGTCTTCAATAGGTGCTACTCCCACCCTTTGTCTGATTGTCTCATTCCTCATGCGGTCCTTCCTAGTATGCCCACACATCCAACGCAGCATGTGCATCTCTGCCACACTCATCTTTTGAATGTGACATTGTTTCACCGCCCAACACTCTACGCCATACAGTAATGCAGGCCTAATTGCTGTCCTATAAAATTTACCCTTCAGTCTAGTCGGCATACCTCGGTCGCATAGAAATCCTGACGCACTCTTCCACTTCATCCACCCTGTTCTGATTCTATGGGATACATCTCCCTCTAACTCACCGTCCTTCTGAATTATGGAGCCCAAGTAACGGAACATATCGCTGACTGGTATCTCCTTACCATCCAGAGTAATTCCGCTATTACCACTACTTCTACCTCCACCAAACTTGCACTCCATGTACTCTGTCTTGCTCCGACTTAGTTTGAAACCCTTATTCTCCAATGTTTGTCGCCATACTTCCAACTTTGCTTTAAGACCTGATTGCGTCTCATCAATCAATACAATATCGTCGGCAAACATCATGCACCACGGTATATCATCTTGAATTGACTTCGTAAGTTCATCCATGACTATGGAAAATAAGAAAGGACTCAAGGCCGATCCTTGGTGCACTCCGATAGTAATAGGGAACTCTTCAGTCCTCCCTACACTAGTACGAACACTTGTAGTACAATCCTCATACATATCCATGATGATGCTGATATACTTGCGTGATATGCCTTTCCTAGTTAAGGCCCACCAAAGAACTTCTCGAGGTACCCTATCATATGCCTTTTCTAAGTCAATAAACACCAAATGCAGATCCTTATGAGCATCTCTATACTTCTCCATAAGTTGACGAAGAAGGTGAATAGCCTCAATTGTTGAGCGACCAGGCATAAAACCGAATTGATTCTCTGAAATCTTCACAGTCCTTCGAAGTCTTTGCTCAATCACTCGCTCCCAAAGTTTCATGGTGTGACTCATAAGCTTAATCCCTCGATAGTTGGCACATTCTTGTACATCACCTTTATTCTTAAATAAAGGGATAAGAGTACTCTTCCTCCAACTCGTTGGCATCTTGTTGTTTCTCCAAATCATGTTGAAGAAACTTGTTAGCCACTCGACGCCTCTCTCTCCCAAACTTCTCCAAGCCTCGATCGGTATGCCATCTGGCCCCATTGCTCTTTTCCGTCCCATCTTCCTCAGAGCTTCTTTAACTTCCGTTGTTTGGATCCTTCTCACAAAATCACGGTTTACCATACAATCCGGTATGGACAAATCGCCGATATCTTGCGTTTTGTTCCCGTTGAATAGTGTATCAAAGTATGACCTCCACCTCTCTTTTATCTCTCCGTCGTCCATTAATATCCTCTGATCAACATCCTTCACACACTTAACTTTTGCAATATCTTGAGTTCTGCGATCACGAAGACGAGCAAGTCTATAAATATCTAGTTCTCCTTCCTTAAAGTCCAACTTTTCATACAACTCCTTGTTCATTTTCCCTCGTGCTTCCCTTACGGCTTTCTTTGCTTGTCTTTTAGCCTCCTTGTATGCTTCTATGTTCTCATCACTCCAATTTGTCCCCAACTATATGTCTGTATAATGTATAAAATAGTAGTATCTCAAGTGTGCTATTGATTGCTCTTCATATTTGTATAACATCCATTTTAATTAACTTTAATATTAAATACCACTCAATTACAATATTGATGCATCAAGTTATTAATAATTGAGTTAACAAGTTTTTAATCCCTTAAGTATATTTTTAACTTTTCCTAAATTAATTTAATAGTATTATTGCAGAAAAAAGTCATTATTGTCTCTCCATGCTGTGTGCATTCACATTATAATTATAACAGTTATTATTATTATTATTATTATTATTATTATTATTATCATTCTTCTTCTTCTTACTATGATTATTATGATGTTCGCATATCACTTCTAAAAAGTATAATGATTATATGACTTACATGGTTCTGTTATGAGCGTCGTTGAGTTATGTTATCTTGCCCAGATTTAAGGGGAGAGAACGAATTAGAGTTTTTCAGAATATATGCTTATTGTGGAATTAATTGGTCTTTGACCTCGTCAAGGCACACCAGAAAGAATTCTCCAAAGAGTAGTTTATTGGAAAATAGTAAGGTTCCTTACATAGCTATTACAAGAGCCTCAATCATTATATGAATCATAAAGCTAAAAGCTAAAAAGAAGCTAACTAGAACTGAATGAGAAATAAATATAATACTGTGGATTGGAAAATAAGAAATTATTCTTCCATAATACTTCTTCATGTTCCTTTGAGTCCGCCTATCATGAGATACGCTCATATCAGGTTCCTTTCATATCATATTCTCATATTTTCTTTTTCTCATTTTGAGTTGTAACGAATGCAGAAAAAGCTTGATTTTACACTTAAAGTAATTGGTGGCGATCTGACGGCAATACCCGGCATGGCTGATGCAATTGAGGTAGGGAAACAATTTTTTATGTTATTTTTTCTTTCCAACTAGTTTTTCAGTTCTATATATGGTAATTTTAGGGGGTTAGGCTTACTGTGTGTGGACATGATTGAGACAGGACTTTCTCAGAGACGTGTAGAGCTCATTACCTTAAATATATAAATGCTTTACAATAAATTTTCCAACTAATGAAGTTATGTTTTCTTTCTGAAAAAGTTGTGTTTCTCATCAGTGTAGTTGGAAATGATGGATTTCATGTTAGCTTAATAGTTAATACAACAAAATAAATTTAAAATTTAGATCATTTTGAATGTTGACACAATTTCTTTATATTGAAATATTATTTTATGGGATAATAAATTAAACATCCGTTTTTCATTCACGTGTCACGTTGTTTTGATTCGGTGCTACCGAGCTTTTACACATAATTGGAATGGGTTCTTGATCCTGAGGAGTTTCATTGTTAAAATATATCTACAATATATTTATTGCAAGTCCTGGTTTAACTTAAGAGTTTTATCTTTTAAAGGGTACAATACGAGATGCTATTGAAGATTCTATCATGTGGCCTGTCCGAAAAGTTATTCCTATATTGCCTGGGGATTACAGGTATCATTTTAAAGCCACGTCATCTCATCTTTTGTTGGATTCTCCCAAAGTTTTAACCAACTCTCCTGTGTTCTAATCTAAGTAGGTTTTGGCAGGCATTAAAAATAAATTATACAGAGTAAAAGTTATAATGAACTATTATTATTATTATTATTATTATTTATACATGCCACTGTCTGAGTTTTTTATGACGCTATTTTTTTCATTAGAACAATAAATCCCGCATTTGGAGAGCAATATCTCATTTGTACTCTAAGAAGCAGCCATGCATTTATTGTTGGGTTGCTGGTTTGGATTGGGGAAGGATCCTTTTCTGCTTTAGTTAATGTTTCTTGTATGTCATTCTATCCTAGTAGGCTAGTACCCCCCCCCCCCCCCCCCCCTAAACAAAAAAAGTTCTCAAAATCATGTTTAACCTTGAAACGAGTCAAATTTATCAAGTGTAGCTAATTTATCTACGTAATATTCCAAAAAAGTGCAAATAAGTCCAATATGGTATACTCAGTTAAACCAAAATAATTTTTGAAAATTTCAGTAGATTTCCTTGAGTATATTACTTTTTGGACGTCCCAAAAAGATTTGTCATTTCCATTTAAAGTAAGGATCATGTGGCTAAAATTAATTCTCTCTCCTCTGCATAAATTTCAACCACACAATTTTTACTTTATTAATCCACGTGAAAGTCAACTTTGGTCAACCTTTTCGGGACGGAGGGAGTAATAAACAATCCATGCTTAGTTTATTGATAATATGGACTATGTATCTGCTTAACATTTGTATCTCTCTCTTCATAGTGATCTTGAACTGAAGCCTGTTGGAAAATTAGAGGTGAAACTTGTTCAAGCAAAAGGTTTAACCAATAAAGACCTCATTGGAAAGTCTGATCCTTTTGCTGAGTTATATGTACGCCCTGTACGTGATAAAATTAAAAAAAGCAAGATAATTGTAAGTGATTGTTATTAATTTATTTTCTTTTTTGAGTTTTTGAAGAGCAGTTCAGATGAAGTTACACGTCAATGCAATGTTTTAATTTCAGAACAATGATTTGAATCCAGTCTGGAATGAGCATTTCCAGTTTGTTGTTGAAGATCCATTAACACAACACTTGGTGGTAAAGATATATGATGATGAAGGATTTCAAGCTAGTGAGTTAATTGGATGTGCTCATGTTTGGTTGAATGAACTTGAACCTGGGAAAGTGAAGGACTTATGGATGCCATTGGTTAAAGACTTGGAGATACAAAGAGACAAAAAAGATAGGGGGCAGGTGAGAACTTCTCTATTTAGTTCTACCTGTAGGAAATACTTTCTGATCAATTAGGTCATGTTCGGATCCCAAATTTGACAGTGCTAGAGAAAAAAGGTAAAGAACATTCTTTTCTTAGCTTTTATAGCTTCACACACATTTGAATACTTATATTTTAAATGAGACATCATGAATAAAATGAGGATCAACAAATATCTAATACACACACACATACATATATATATATATATATATGTATATGTCTATATATGGGTGGGATCACATACAAACTAGTTCTAATATGCTAACCTACAAACTGTCACAAACTGTGCATCTTTACATTATTTGTATTGCATATTGAAGTTGAAAGTGTTGCATATTATTTGTATTGCATATTGAAGTTCAAAGTGTTGCATATTATTGACTTTGTAGGTCAGTATTTTAAGCATGGTTTGTATTTGATCTCTTATCTATAATACACACACACACACACACATCGACTTTTATCCTATCTCCCCCCACATCTTCTTTTCTTTGAATATTCCTCTATGTTTTCTTTCTTATTTTTTCCATATTATCTTCCGGATTTTCAAATGGACCCTTAAGCAAGTGGCAGACAATGAAAAGCTCAATCAATTATAGGAATTGATGGAAATATTCTTTTAGTAAGTATGCAGGAGCTACCCTAGGTCCCTAGTTCATTCTTTTAAGGGGTGGGTGAGGGGTTATCTCCAATATATCCTTGCCTTGCTCATAACCTTATTTCCAAAATATTTCATTTCCCTCATTATAAAACCATTCGATTATGGGAGGGTATAATATCTTCATGCATGTGTGGGCAGTTGTACTGCATAATAAACCGAAGTTCCAGTGTGTCCTTTTACGATTAGGGTAAATACTAAAACTCTTGTTTGCCATGAAATTCTAGTGCCAACTAATTTATAAAATATTAAAAGTTTAAAACACTAAAAGTTTTTGCATAAGTCATATAGGCAAATTTTTATGGCGGATTCCCTCGCTACGATCTTCTGTGAAAAAATAATGAGATGAAATTCAGAATTGTAAGTCTGTAATCGTCATAGCTTTCTATTGCAGTTACATGGAAGATATAGGTTTCCATAGCATTGCAATTTTATGACCCGTTCTTAAATCTGAACATATTTATTTTTAAAGTAATTAATTGAATTGATTTATTTATCAGATTGTATAGTTGTTGACGAGAGTTAACCAAATTTCAAACGTATTCCTTGATCCTTTTTAGGTGAACTTGGAACTGTTGTATTGCCCAATTGGCACGGAGAATGGGTTTGCTGACCCTTTTGATGATAATTTTTCAATGACTTCGTTAGAGAAAGTTCTTAAAAGTAGTGCAGAGCTGAAAGAAAATGGAAGCAATGTCAAAAGAAGGGGGGTAATCGTACGGGGGGTACTTTCAGTCACTGTGATATCTGCTTACGACCTTCCCGCAGCTGATCTTCTTGGGAAAGCTGATCCCTATGTTGTTCTAACTTTAAGGAAAGCCGGTATAAAGAACAAAACAAGGGTATGTTGTTGCTTTTTGTATTCCTGATATGATGACCTTCCTTTGGTTTTCTCCTAGGTTCTGTCTGTAGGAGGGAGGGTTTGGGAATTCGGAGGTATTTGGAGGAATGGAGGGCAACACTTTGGAGTGCTAAGTCAATATTTTGAGAAATTGAATGTCTCTAAAACTAAATAGAAGTTGATTAAAATATTGTACGATTTTGAATATTAGGTTTACTTTTACATTTTATAACATCTTGAATACACACACACACACATAATTTGGTTCAAATGAGAATACGACCTAAGGAGAGAAATGAGAATGATTTTGGAGCGTTAGATTTGGGTGTCGAGCATTATGCAAAACAGAAATCTGCATTATCATAACTTAGAAAATGTGCATTTGAAATGTGCGTTATTTTTAATTATAAATGTGCACCTCTCAATGTGCATATTTATAGTTCACCGAGGTGCACATTTATAGGTAAAATAATGCATAGTTCAAATGTGCAATTTGGTATTAAAGTAATGCACAATTCCAATGCACATTTTTTAATTTATGTTAGTGCACATTTATGTTTCACATAATGCACAGTATCCAACGTTCCAGTGTCATTCTCATTTCTCTTTTTAGATCATGTTCACACGCTAAAAAAGCCTCCTCCTCCAAACCCATCTATCCAAATAGACCCTAGGGACCGTTTGGATAGAGCGTGGAGTGCATGGATTTGGAGGGCCAAGTCTATATTAAGAAATGTTTGAAATTTAATAACAATTAGAGTACAATAATGGGTGATCTTAAAACATATCAATCACCTTTATATGTTCTTAGAAACATTCTGTTTGTCAATATAGAGTCATAGACTTAAAGCATGTTTGGCATTTAGCGGATTATTTTAGCGGGTTATTAATAGCGGATTCACTTAGTGAGTTTGACTAGTGAAATAAGTTGGAGAGTTGCAAAAAGATGTTTGGTAATTTAGTTGTTTTGCCGTATCAATTAGTAGGAAATGCCTTATTTCAAAACGCTAACTCTATGTAGCACGGAAACTATCGAGAAAGAGTACGTTTCCGTTTCAGAAACTCTACATAAACTCCCCAAACAAGCATTTTTGAGCAAAAAATGACGTTTTCCGTTTCCCGTTTCCTCATGATTTTCATGTTTCCGTGCAACATAGTGCTAACTCAAAACGCTGCTATTTGTAGCGTTTCTGTCCAAAAGCGCTAGGGCCAAACAACTATTTACCAAACATCGTTTTCATTTATTGAAAACGCTAAAAAGAGTAACCACTATTTTATGCTGAAACGCCATTTTCCAAAGACACCCTTAATCTCTCTTTACAAATTGTATATTTTTCTTTTCTTATTTTATTTTGAGATCATGACGCAATAGTTTATTATTTTCACAGTATGCATGGGAGAGCAATATATTCAAGTAGTTAGCATGAATACAGTCTTTTCATTTTTGCACTTCTAGGTTGTCATGAAAAGTTTGAATCCAGAATGGAATCAGACTTTTGACTTTCTTGTTGAGGATGGATTGCATGAAATGCTGACTCTAGAAGTCTGGGATCATGACACCTTTGGAAAGGTAAATATATTTTATTACGCTGGAATAAGTTGGATCTTCTTGGTTTCCCTCTAATTTTTCCTTCTTCTTAGATTTTCCTTTGCTTCTTGAGTCCTTGTTCATGCATTTGAGAGTTGGGCAGCACATATAGCTTGTAATTCTTGATTCAAACATATATGTAATTATGTATACCTTAATCTCAACACAAATGGGATTACATCATAGACTAATACCAGGCTAGAATTCTAAAAAGGGGCAAAAGGAAATTTACGGGAGGATAGATATTGATTAATATGCACATGTTTTTCGCTCTGTCACTTTGTGTAGGATTACATGGGACGATGCATCTTAACATTGACGAGGGTGATAATGGAAGGTGAGTATAAGGAATGCTACGAGTTAGATGGTACCAAATCAGGAAAGCTTAACTTGCATCTCAAGTGGACACCGCAACCGATTTACAGAGACACCTAAGTCACAAACGTTTGGGACTGCATTCCCTGAAATACCCTCCTGATTTTTGTAGATACTTTGCCAGAGCTCAGAAGCTTGAGAGATTGTCATTGTAACGTTGTGGTGTACATAGTATAGTTCCATTGTTTTGCAGAGGTTTATGGAGAAGGCATATAGCTACAAATCTCTAATACCGGAGTGCGTTGAAGTGAATTAAAAAATAAGAAACTTTGACAGAATTATATAATTAATATAGGTCATTAGGAAATCCAGTTTGATAAATGTTCCTGCCTTTTTGCTTCATAGGTGTTTACGTTGTCTTTTAGGTTTTATATATCAAAATATCAGCAACAGTTTTAAGTGTATCTACCTGAGTGAGCCCTTTGTGTAGGCGTACTGTTTCAGTCAGTGTATGTTTCTTGATTTTGTTGTTATCCTGAAAATTATTTTGGAAACTTGAGGACACGTAGAGAATGATTTGTTGTGCACTTGTGCGTATGCATAGACTCTGTCCGGGCCTCGGGCCGAGCCTGACTGGGCTTTTATTTGGATTCTTGAGGCCCGGAACCGGTCTGGGTAGCTACTGAGTCCGGTTCAGGCCGAGCCGGGCTGGCTACCTATTTTTTTTTTTCTAATTACTTCCTACCCACACTCCAAACCCCTCCAAAACACTCAACGCAATCCATTGACCTCCCAAAGATTTTGAAAACAAAAAAAAAACCTTGGCCCAGGCCGGTTCATTTTATAGACCCGGAACCCGGCCCGAAAAATCCCGGTTCGGGTATAATCCACCCGGCCGTAACCCAGGACCTGGTTTCGGTACTTGTGTGTGGTGGTGTATAAATTATTTACATTCTGAAGGACTTAGGAGGGGGCTCTTAAGAGCTTAGAATTAGTCTAATGAAGTCAGGATTACCTCGTGCTAACAAAAAAGAAAGAAGAAATATAATGTACTGGATTTATGACCTAATGATTCTAAATAGGTTAAAAATGTACCAATATGGATAAAAAATTGTCCTGACATTTTCGTAAATAAATACAAGTAAAATTTCATTGCAAAGAGTGTACTTGGTGAGTGTGGAAGTGTCATACATGTTTAAAATTACCCGTATGGTTCACCTTTATGTGATCCATATCATTTATGTCCCAATTATTTTTTCTTTTCATTTTTAACTTTTGTGTTTTCAGTTATCTTTATTTATTTCAATTTTAGACTATTCTCCCCTCTTCCGTGTAATTAGAACTGAAAGGCAGATTCCCTATTCTTCGCTCCTGCCTTTGCGAAGCATCGACGACATTCACTCTCATCGTCTCCTACTCACTCACTTCTGTCTCCCTTCTTCTTCCGTCTCCACAATGATCTTCCTAAGTGTTCTGGCTGGAAGGCGTAAAATATGGAGAAAGGGGGTCACATCTCAGATTCAATAGGTTCCAATCGGAGCTTTGAGTTCACAGATCGCGACACACTTTCCAGAATCGATCGATCCCAGCTTCAATCGCACACTCCAGGTGACTCTGGGATACATGGGAGATAGAGACAGTTTGTCGGTTAGCTTAGGGGCTGAAATCCACGTGCGTTGTTTTCTTCGGCCGGCACCGGAAGTAATGTGGTAGTTGGGGGCGTGCGGTGCAGATTTTTCTGAGGATTGTCGTGAGTCCTCCTCTTCATTCTTCTTCTTTTAATTTCAGATAAGTGATTCAATTTATATATGTTTTTTGTTTCTTGATTGAAGAAACAATTAAAAATTCATCACCAATTACTAGTATTATTTGTGCCTTGCAAGAGAAGTGAAAGGCAAAGTATTCCATCCCCTGTAGCTGCACTTTTCTTAATTAAAATGATATAATTTTGTTACCTAAAGAAAAATAAAATATTGTAAATGAATTTGAGTTGCTTGCTTGCAGGATCACCTTTGTAGTTGGAATTGAATGATTTTTCATTCCTTTTAGACCTGCTTCCATGCCGTTAGAAACTCATCTTTCTATTCATCTAAGGACAACTCAAACTATGGAATAACAACAAACTACTCTTACTATGCATCTGTGCATAACTCAAACTATGCTGGTGAAGGAAGTGCTGAGGGAGGAAGCTTACAATGAAGGTGCTTTCGATATGGAGAAAGTGGTTTTGAGGTTGGAGTAGGCGTGTTTACTTTAAGGACTGAATTGAACAATAGAGTCAGATATAATGATGTCATTGTGTCTTTAAGTCTAGTTCATTTGCTTGTGGAAGTTATTATTCCTCTACAGAAAGGCTGGATTAAGCCTTGCTAGTACTTACTGGTGTTGGTAGAAGTGCTTTCCCTATAGCTGCAACTTTTTAACTTTTATTTTATTGATCTTTTGTTTATTCTTCCTATTAAATGTTTTCTGGTTTGTTAGCTTCAGTGTAAAAAGATTTTATATATTTAACGATTCGTTGTTTATTTGAATATGAAATTTGCTAAAATTGCAAGCAATGGAAAAATAAAGCTTTGGTCAGGTAATTCCTCTGATGTTACGTCTCTATTCTTCTAACTTTCCAAGCCCTCTATTATGACTTCGAAAAATATTTAAGATACCCACGAGTTATTCTAGTAAAAGAAATTGTTGAGGCCGGGAAGAAGGTTATTTTCTCTGATGTGAGTGTCTATGAGGTGAACTTGTGAACAAATGAGAAACATGTGTTGAAGCTTCATGAGGGTTTTTAGCTTTGCTACTTTGACATCAAGATTCAAAGATGTCGGAGTTTTAATATAATATGCCTTTCTAGTTCTGTATACATACATAGTTCTTTTTTTGAGCAAATTTGTCTATTGTGTATACATAAATGAACTTTCTTTACAAATAAAACTGAATGAATAGATGCTGAAGAAGTTCATACATCACTTAACAAAGGTACGAAAAGTGGAGTAACTAACAATTCATGATATTTCTTAGCTTAGCCTTTTCCACCACAAGATTTACAACCGCCTTGATAAGCTTTTATATATTGCAGAGCCATGCATCCCAGTCCTGGGTTGATGTATAGGGAAGTTTATTTCTTCGCAGTCCTACTCTTGTTGAGTGCTATACCAGCTCAACAGTAGGGTTACGTTGTCTGTCACTCGAGTAACTGCATTTCCATTTTGAACATTAGCAGAAGCCCAGGTGAAGAAAACAATATAGAGAAGAAAGCATTGGACCGACGCCATGTCGGAGCTTGTTAGAGAGCCACTGACCAGGATGTAAACTGTCAAGCGTCTATCTTTAATCATAGCATATATTTATTGTGATACTAGTATGTACCTGTAGTATTATTATTTTTGTTGCTTTTTGTTGTACCACATTATTGCATTTTGTTGCATCGTGTTGCATTTTGTTGCATCTCGTTACTTTTTGTTGCATCATGTTTCTTATTAAGAAGTACTACACATTATTTATCATTGATTCAAATTTATTACATTTATGATAGATAAATGTAATAAATTAAAATAATAGACCGAATTATGTATTTGTTGTGATACTGTTATATTTAGTAATATTTTTGTTTCATTTTGTTGTATCATACTTGTTGCTTTTTGTTGCATCGTGTTGTTAATTGTTACATCATGTTGCATGTTATTTATTATTAATTTTGTTTCATTTTGTTGTTTTTTGTTGTGTTTAGTACTTATTGTTGTTTGTTGTTGATTTTTGTTGTGTATTTAGATCATATATTTTTTTTTGATTAAAAGCTAACAAGTGTGTGTATGTATGTATGTATGTATGTATGTATGTATGTATGTATGTATGTATGTATGTATGTATGTATGTATGTGTGTGTGTGTATACACACACACACACACACACACACACACACACACACACACACATACATACATATACATATACATATACATATACATATACATATACATATAGTCGCCTAAAATGATAAATTTAGATTTATAAATATACACAAAACTTAGAAACATAAAGAAACAATAAAAAACAAAAAAATCATAATTATCAACAAAAAGAAACACATATAAACAATAGGCAACAAAAACTAATAGTAGTAAAATAATAATAATAATTACAAAAATTAAGTGCTTTAAAAAATATTAATTCAGAAATTCTTATTTTTAAATTTTCAAATTTTCAATATTTTTTCCAAGTTCATTATTTTAATTTTTCATATTTGTATTCACTGAGTTTATTTTAATTTTAATGTCTTTTAGGTTACATTAATTTTCCGTTTTTTTTTTTAAATTTAAATATTTGTTCACTGTCTAATTAAAATTTATAATTACTTCTTCATATGTTTTAATGTATATTTTACCTTATTTTACATTTTTGTGTATCTTTTAGGTCTTAGGGTTCCAAAGTATTCTTAAAAAATGATTTAATATTCGAATTTTCTTAAAATTTTCATAGTTTATAGTTTTACATAAATTACCATCTATTTGAAAAATTACCTCACAAAAATTGTATTCCATTTCTTGTACAGTTTTGCCACATTTTAACTACTTCAAACTTTTACATTTTTGTTTTCTATATTTTTATGAATATTTCGGATTTTTATTATTGACATTTTGTTTAGTCGTTAGTTTTAAAAATAATTTTGGGTTTTAGATTTTCCTTTTTTCTAGTTAATATAATCGTATTAATTTAAGAAGAATTTATACATTTTTTTATTTAAACAAAAAAAATGAATAACTGATGCATTTAACTCATCAAAAAAATGATGCATTCAAGAATCCGTTTGAACTTATACAATTTTTCTATTCAAGGCTCGTTATGAGTTAAAAGGTACAGTACACGTGCATTAGGCGTTATGAAGAGTTGAGCTTCCGTATGTGGGTTTTATATAAGTAGCCTATTTGTGAAAAGAGATCCATAGTTGGTCTATTTTTGAAAAAAGTTTTAAAAAATGAAAAAGTGAAATTATTCTCAATTTTAGTCTATTCCTGAAAAATTCCCCAAATTGTTTGAATGCGATAGTTAGGGATGGACTGGGCCCAATCGGGCTATTTTTTTTTGGAATTTGAGGTCCGGAAACGGCTCGGTTAGCTATCGTGGCCGTGTACCTTTTTTTTTTTTATTTTCTAATTACTTCCTAGTTCCTACCCCCACCCCCCAAACCCATCCAAAACACCCGGCCCAACCCATTTACCTCCCAAATATTTTGAAAAACAAAAAAGTCTCAAACCGGGCCGGGCTGATTCACTAATTATAAGACCCATACCCGCCCCGCCCCAATCCCCGGGCCGGGCCGGGCCTAGGCCTGGAACCGGTTACACAAGACCGGTCCGGTCAGAGCCCGTACAGTAGCGGGCCGGGCGGCCCGAACCCGGTCCATCCCTAGCGATAGTGCACCAAATATGAGCAAAAGTGAAATAGTTCGCAATTTGCACGTGAGCAACACTTTTTATTGGAACTCGGCTTAGAATTTGATTCAAATAAAAAGTATTTCTTATGTGAAAACTATGAAGCAGTTGTAATTTGTAATTTGACATTTTGAATTTGTAATTTGCAATCTAATTAGGGGAGCTCAACTTGCAATCCAAACTACATTTGAGTCCTCTTCAAATGTCAATCCGATTTTGCAAACCCATAGCAGAATGACATTTGCAATTTGTAATTAAGGTTGCAACATAGAATTTGTAAATTACACTTTAGGTCCTTCGAATTTTGTGTCATTTCCATATTTAGTCCTCATCTTTCACTTTATCCATTTTTGGTACCTGACTATTGTTTTCTTGACCATTTGTGGTCCATTTATGAGCATTTTTACTATTGGAAAAGGACTATATATGATCAAGAAAACAATAGTCAGGTACCAAAAATGGATAAAATGAAAGACGAGGACGAATTGTGGAATTGGTGCAAAACTCGAAGGACCATAAGTGGAATTTCTTCATTTTAATATTAAAATTTTGATACGTAAATTACAGTATTTGAAACAATTTTTTCACATCATGTAGCCAATGTATTACTCCCTCCGGTCCTAAATAAAGTTCATTGTTTGACTTCACACAAATTAAGGAAATGAATTTGATTTTACTGTAGAGTACACTCATGTGACGCTGTTTGACACTGTTTGACACTGTTTTGCATTGTTTTGATATAAATAATTGCCAAATAAGAAAGGGAGAAGAAGTGTGAACTTTAATTTGGACCGTCCCAAAAAGGAGGGAGTATATTACTGTTTAATATATAACCAATCATATAATGTCATTGTGTTAATTTTACATATTAAAAATAGAAAAAATTACTCCAAATAGGACTAAAACTATGACAAAAACTCAAACTAGGATTTACTATGTTTTTCTTTTCAAAATATGACCATATTAGTCCTATTGGAAACAAACTCATTTTTTCATTCCATTCTTATCCTTCCTTTAAATATGAGTTAATTAAATGTTTAATTCATAATAAATTCGAAAAAAATTCAAAACTTCGTAGAAAAAAAACTAAACAAATTTATAAAACAATTAATAAAATAAAAAATTAAAAATAAATTATTTTTTAAAAAAATTAATAAAAAAGAGTAAAACTCCATAAAAAAATTAAAAAATATGGATGTCTTTGCCACCGCCTGTACTACCTCCCTGCACCACCATCTCCGGCCAGTGAAAAAAATGCCATTTTCCCTAAAAACTGTCATTTTTTTTTCTGAAAATGCCAAAAACATGGCATATTTCTCTTTGAGAATGCCAACATTTTCATTGTTTTCTGCCATGAATATGACATTATTAATGAACTTGACATTGTTTCCACTGATGACGGGAGGTGGTGGTGCAGAGGTGGCAGAGACGACGGTGAATTTTATTTTATTTTTTTGAGTTTTTTATTTTTTATTTTAGAAATATATATTTTATCGAAATATTTTTTATGATTTTTTATGACTTTTTTAAATTATATTTTTAAAAATATTTCATTATTTTTTATGATTTTTTAGTATTTTTTACGAATATTTTTTATCGAAATAAATAAATAAATTATTACTATCGAAATATTTTTTATGATTTTTTTAGTATTTTTTACGAATATTTTTTATTTTTATTATTTTATTATGAATTAAAACATTTCAATAGCTATAAGAGTATATTTATCTAAAACACACATAATTAGTCCTATGAAAACATAGTTTATTTTTTGGTATAATTTGTGCAAAGTGGGTGGACTTTTAGTCCTATTTTTATAATTAACCCTATTAAAAACTTTCAACAATAACTCGACTTCTCTATGTCCTAAGAAGTAGTGCTTATACCGTGGTATCGGTGCATGGTGAGCACCATGCACCCTTTGTTATTTTTTATTTCTCATTTTCTTAAAATTGTTAATAATTTTTTTATTTTCGATCCAATTTTTATAAAATTTATACCATTTTTTTTTTATTTTTCATGATCTTTCAAATGAGACCAATATTGCCTATGTAATTTTAATTTTTTACATTCATACATTTTTTGTAATATATTTTTATATGCATACACTTTTTCTTTAATATATTTTTTTTTATCACTTTTATATGTTTTAGAGGTTTTTAAGATATTGAGTTTGTTTATTTTGCTTCTAGCTTGGAGTTACATTTGATAATATACGAAGTTACATCATCTTATACTCCAGTTACAAGTTATTATGTGTGAGTTACATCTTGTTATGTGTGAGTTACATCTTGCTATACATGAGTTACATACTTTTATGCGAGAGTTACATGTAATTATGTGTGAGTTACATCTTGTTATGTGTGAGTTACATCTTGTTATACACGAGTTACATACTTTTATGCATGAGTTACATGTAATTATGTGTGAGTTATATCTAATTATTTGTGATTTTTTACTTATCTTTATCTTGAACTAATTCAATTATAACTGAATTAATTTTTTTCTTTGTCAATTTAATACAAAATTTTATTAATCCACATAAAATAAGTATATTGTATTTCAATACACTATTTTTCAAATGATAAAAATGAAAGATGTAGTAGGGGTTTATTTCATAGTGTAACTCACATACATTAAGATGTAACTCGTGTATATTAAGATGTAACTCGCGTACAATAAGATGTAACTCGCGCAGAAGAAGATCTAACTTCATGATATATTATCAAATATAACTTCAAAATAATTTGTTAAAATTACATAAGCAATATTGGTCTCATTTGATAGATCATGAAAAATAAAAAAATTTGATATAAAATTTATAAAAATCGGATATCAAATAAAAAAGTTACTACAATTTTTAACAATAAAAGAAAAAAAAATAGTGAATGCTGCGTCGTTTTGGGATCAGCCGCACCATCCTCGCCGATCCCACGGTATAAATTGCCCCTAAGAAGCAATACCCAAAAAATACCTTTATTTTTTTTTTATTCCACTTAGAATCTGATGAACGAGAAGCACAAGCAATTTCAAAAGTAAACACTTGTGAAATACAGTTGCCATTTAATTCCTAGGGCAGCCGCCCACTGAATGTGATCTATAGTGCAAGTGGCGCAAGAAATAAATTAAAGGTTTAGCGTACGAACTGTCACGGTCTTTATGCATCTAATCTAATCTAATGCTTCCATAAAAGTTCATAGCTTTTATGCAACAAATAACGGAGTAATTTTTTAGAACCCGCGGTGATGGGTTGTTGGCTTGTGGCTAGCTGCTAAAAAATCATTCGTATCGCTAAAAATAAAGTCTTTGAGCTCTGGAATTTCTGTGATATGGTGTAAAGTGTGTGTTTGGAAGAAGAATATGATGATCCAAGAAAAGGGTCAGAAGAAAGAGTGTCGTTTACCGACCACCGATGGATCACCGGCGGCGAGGAAGAAGAGAGGATGCGAATTAGTGTCTTATCAAGAATTGCCAGAATATATGAAAGACAATGAATTTATTCTGAATTACTACAGAGCCGAATGGCCCCTTAAACAAGCCCTTTTCAGCATTTTTCGGTGGCACAATGAAACTCTCAACATTTGGACGTTAGTATATTCGACCATTCTTGTTATTATTAATTTTCCCATGTTATTATTCACTAAATTTTGGTTTATCAGATTAATTTGTTTGTAATTTTTTTCCCCTCTCTGCCTGGGCAGGCATTTGATTGGTTTTGCTCTGATTTTGGTACTGATTGTGGCAAATTCTTCCCATTTATATCAGTTAGCTGATTTCATGACAGTGGTCTTAAGGCAACAGTGAGTAACACACACACACACTATATATATATAAATTATTTTTTTGGTACTTTTGATTTATTTTGTCTTAAATGTCATGATCAACGAATTGGGGGTAGTTGGAACCAACACATAATGAAGAATGATCAACTTAACAATTTTATTAATTGAGGTAATGATAACTAGAGTATAGAAGAGTATATATAGGATAAGAGTTCAAAAGAGAACTGCAGCGTGGTTAGGAAAAGGAATGATTATATTTTTTGGAAAGGGTTTAGTAAATGATTATTATTTCTAATGACGTAAACCAAAAGTTTGAGTAACTTTGAAAAGATGCATAGATTTACTTACAAACTTATAACTATAATTCAATTCATAATTTCTTATGTTATATCTTGATTTGCATTATGTGTAAATGGACAAGAATGTATATGCTATGAACTATTTGTGGCTTCTCAAGTTAGATGAATTCCCTATCTGAATCGTTTTCCTTAAACAACCTGGGATTTGTTTCCATAATGTAAATGGATGGGGAGCATTGGATCGTTTCCTTACATAAATGGGACAACCTGGGACAAGAAAGTTTTCTTAGAATTTTCTCAAATGTAAATATGTAATCGTTTTCCTTAAACAACCTGGGATTTGTTTTCTTAGGATTTCTTTCCTTAAACTGAGGCATGTGCTGGGGATGGAGTTCCATAATTTCATTAACTTTGGGGTCATGGTTGATTTGTTTCCTACAGGAACTTCCCTGCTGGTTCAGAGGCCAAGATTTCTAGGAATACAAAGGATATTTTGCAGGAATGGCGCCTTTTTCTTTTGTTTATTTCAAGTGTTGTTATTAGACGTGTCAAATAAGATTTTAGTACTCATCTTAAGATGTAACCTCAAGTCTTAATAATAACGAACTACTTTGACTAAGCACTAGGCGTCTAGGCCTATATGTCACTATATATATAGCGAGTTATACAACATTTTCTGTTTTTGCTATTGTGCAGGGAGTGCCAACTCGGATGGTTGATTGGATGATAACAGGTAAAGAATCACAAATAGACATAAAAACAGGAGAGATGAGTGCAGCATCAACATGGCCATTGTACGTCTTCTTAGCGGGTTCAGTGTTCTGTTTCCTATCAAGCAGCATATGCCACCTCTTCTGTTGCCACTCCCAACCCATGAACCTTGTACTGACCCAAATGGACTATGTAGGAATAGCCGTCATGATATTCACCTCCTACTTCCCTCCCATGTACTACATCTTCCAATGCTCCCCACCCTGGCACATCGTCTACCTAACCGGAACCTCCATCATTGGCATATGCATTACCCTCACTCTCCTAACTCCCGCGTTTGCAAGGGGTAAATACAGGTCATTTCGGGCCTGTTTATTCATTGCCATGGGGCTATTTGGGCTTATTCCCGCTATCCACGCTCTGGTTGTATACTGGAGCGACCCTTACAGGTATTATATGAATTAGCAATGGGCATCCATTCGTATCTTCATTAGTAAATATAAGAACTCTTCTGAAATTAAGTTTAGTTATGATAATAAATTTCCAGTATTATGATTGGGCAACTGAGGCATGTGCTGTTGGCTGCGGAAAAATCTCTTATAAAAGGCCTAAAATTTGGTGATTTAACAGGCACTGAATATGAAGGTGCTGCGAGTCTTCCTGTATGGTGATGAAAGTTTTCTTAGAATGTTCACGTTTGATGTCTTCTTATGATTACTCCTAAATTATAAGGAATAAAAATTTCATCAAATGTAAATATTTAATCATGTATCGAGAAAAAGCTGTTAGTTCTATTACCAGTTCTATTACCAAAACATAGTAAGAGTTTGTTTGAATTTGAGTTCTAAATTTATGACTTTATGTATATAAAATGTTAGTATCAATACATTAAGCTTTTTAAGTATTAAGTTCATGATTAATTCATACTTTATACATTTATAGAAACTTATTTGCACATGCACCTCTTTATTCTTATATGTTCTTCATGTTCTTCAGCATTTCGTTTCTTGTTTTCTTTTAACGAGATTCGTTCTCATGGTACATAAGGGTCAATTTGATAGGAAGAGAAACATATAGATTTTATGTGTGGATTTGTTAAATGTATACTTTTCTCATCTAGGGTGACTTAACAACAGGAATGTGATGCTAGCTTACGAGGGAGCCATGGCTTTGTTTTACATCATTGGGGCGATGTTCTATGTGAGCAGAATTCCAGAGAGATGGAAACCAGGGGCGTTTGATTTAGTTGGGCAGAGTCACCAGATCTTTCATGTGTTTGTCATCTTTGGTGCTTTGGCACATTACGGTGCGGCGCGCGTTTTCCTGGAGTATCGCAGCAGGCTCGGTTGCCATCGAGGGGATTAACTTGTTTGCCGCATTATTTGAGGGACATGCTCACTGTATTTATTGGTAGCACTTTTTGTTCCTAAACACATGAGAGACTGAACACTGTATGTGTGAGCTTGCAAAAACAAAATGTTGTTAGTTTTAAAGGAGGTTAGAAAAACTAAAACTGGTGGTTAGAAGTTGTCATACTTATTCTTGCAGTCTTTCATTGAATTCCTGCTTTCACATAAATTAAAATACTACTCCGAAGTCCCAATACGGAGTACTTGTATAGTTGTATTAATTGATTCTTAGGTTGTTCAATGAATTACTCCGTCTGTCCCACTGTCCACTGTATTGTCAACATTTCTTTTTTGTATATCCCAAAAAAATATCACTCTCTTTTAAAGCAATGAATTTATGACTATGTTCATTTCTATCTTTTCTGCACAAAGCTCAATCACATAGTTTTTACTATTTTAATTTCGGGGTAATTTGAGTTTGCACCCCATTTTACTGTCCAAATTGGACTTTGCATGTTGTTTTTAAAAATCTTTGTTTTTGCACCTCAATCCCGTATGAAAAGACAAAAATGCTCCTCTATTAACAATTCTGTTGGTCTTCAACATATTTATGATTGAGGGACGTTTTTGTCTTTCCATACGGGGTTGAGGTGCAAAAACAAAGATTTTTAAAAACGAGGTGCAAAGTCTAATTAGAACAAAAAATGGGGTGCAAACTCAAATTATCCATTTAATTTCTCATCCAACATCTACTTGGCAAAGATGAGTTGGACGGAAGTAATATAATGAAACAATTGTCTAAATATTACTACTAGATTTTCGGTGGACAAAAATATGATTGGTTTTGAAAAGGATGAAAAAATGATTTCAAATATTTAAAAAGTTCAAATCCCTGCTGCTCTGTCGGTCCGTTTGGCTTCTCTCTCTCGACATGTGCTGCATCCCTCAGAGGGATTCCCTCTACACCGACGACCTCCTTGCCGCCGCTGCCTTCGCCACCTTCTTCCACATCGCCATCATCTTCTATCTCACCTACTCCACGCCGAATTTTCTATTTCTTCTCTTTCTGTCCAGTCGATGTGATGCTGATGGGAGTTCAATGGACATCACCGTCATCGATATCCTTCACGCTCGATGCCATAAGCCCCACCGCCCAACTTTCGTCGCCCAACCTACGTGCGACCTCCGTCGCCACTCGCAAGTCGCAACTAGGGGAGGGCAAAAGACCCGGTCCCGTTGGTCCGTTCCGGAACGTTCCGGTTCCGTTCCAAAATTGTCCCGTTAAATTCGGGACAAACTATTTTTGTCCCGTTCCGGTCCCGAACCGTTTCAAAACAAAACGGGACCGGGACAAATAAAATATGTCCCGTTCCGTCTCGTCCCGAATTCAAAATTGTACGGAGTATATAGTTGTGGGTTAGTGAGTCTACCATCAATTCAAATACTAATGAATATTAATATTAATTAGGTATTAGTTATCTAATATGTAAAACACCTAAAGGAGTCTAAATTATATCAAGTATGAACTATCTTCTACATACTAAAACACATGTTTCACTTCTAATAATATTGTTTGTCTTTTTATTTATTTTTGTAGTTTCTTAGTAGTATTGTGTGTGTTGGAGTTAATTGTTGTTGTTAAAGTTTGTTTCGTACAACTATCCTATGAATCTACTATTTTTTGTGTTGCATTTATCGCAAATTTTTGTACGTGTTGCATTTTTAGTGTTGTAGTTTTTGTCATGAAGTTTCTTTTTGGAGCTGTATTTTTTTGCTGCAATTTTTTTGGGGGTGTCCCGAACCGTCCCGTTCTGTTTCGGTACCGGTTTAAAAGGGACAACACCGGGACAACATCTTGTCCCGTCCCGTTCTGTCCCGTTATCCTAAACCGGGTTCGGGACCGGGATAGTCTAATTCCCGTCCCGTTCCGTCCTGTGCCCACCCCTACTCGCAACCCCCCATCTCCATAAAAACCAAGCTATAGTGCGAGATCCGACTTTTAGGGTTCAATTCGAGGGCGGCGGCGGCGGCGGCGGTACGTCTGTGATTTTAGGGCAACGACACAGTGGTGTTGACTGGAAACTATGGTTACGACGTTTTTCGTGTGCGGGAGGTAGGGGGCTACGGTTGGGGACTAACAAATGGGGGCTGGGGCAAGTCACAGAGGATCTGGGTGACACTGGGGCGGGTAAGGTGGAGGCAGGGCTGGGCGGCGCTGCGCAGGTTAGGCTTTGGCGGGGCTGGGCTGGGCAGGTTAGGTTTTGGTGAAGCTGGGCGGCGCTTGGGTGGGGTACGATGTGGTTGGGGAGGGGGCTGGGTAGCTGTGCGGGAGCAGGGGAGGGTCGGCGATAGGGGCAGTAGGAGTTTCATATATAGGAGCGAGGGGCACAGTGTCGCCGACAACTGGCGGCGATTTCTCTGAACGGAAACGGTGGAGGATGTATAATATTCACCGGAAAAAGTCGTCGGAAAATTTCATAGTGACATGGTTAATGGCGCAGTGACACGATTTACGGCGATAGTGACACGTTTTACGGTGACAGTGACACGTTTTACGGTGACGGTGACATATGAAAGTGACGTGAAAACTGATAGTGGCATTCAAAAGTGACATAAAATCACAATGACATAAAAATCTGGCAAATTTGGCAGTTATACAGTTTTTTTCCAAATATATGACCTTCTGTGTCACTTTTTTGTCTTTTTATAAAATGGTCACATTTTTTGGAAATTCATTTGAAATTAGTAATATTCAAGGAAAAAATCCTAATATAATTTTTTTTCTTAAAAATTATATAATGCACATTCTTTTATTAAAATAATTTTTAATCATCAAATAGTGTGGTATGATGAAGCATTGATTTTTTTTTTAACGGAAACTTGCATCTATTCATATCATAAGTTTCATGATCATTACACCAATCAAAGGAAAAACAAATCTATCACCAATTAAACTTCAACAACTACGATTGTAAACCTTATGATCAGACTTAGAGACGGTCACCACTGAAAGAGCAACATGAATCGCTAACCATGCAACATAGATTCAAACATACCCAATGACATAAAAAGGATGTTAATTCTCAAACAAACTGAGAAACCTAACAATATAGACGGTAATAATGAAACAAATGATAAAATAATACGGAGTAAAAGCTGAGAGGAGGAGAACGAAACATGAAAAAAATTAAATAAGCAAAACAAGTATCTTGAACCCTAGCACCTCGTTCATCCCCTGGCAGTGGTTTAGGAGGATACCTCCGCCTGCCCCGCAATATAGCCCCTCTGGACACATCCATTTCTCCCTCCCTTCAGTGGCGGATCCAGGAATTAAAAGTATTGGGGGCAAAATAGGAATGAAGTACATGAATAAAAAAAGATTAAATAATATTACTATGAATAGCGAAAAATTGTAGTACCTTCATCCCGCTTTGATTGTCTTATTTTACCTTATCGGTCCGTCCCACTAAGATTGTTTCATACCAAATTTGGTAAAATTTGTGTGGCTCTAAATCATTCTTACGTATTCTTACTTCATCAATTCAATATCAACCACATAAATCACTTTTTATTAATTTGTATGTCACTCCCTCTTGTCCCATTGTTAGCGGGACGGAGAGAGTAATAAAGTACACGAGAACTTTGAAACTAAATAAAGTACGCAATATATTACTATATCAACAAACTATTACATAATAAAGTAAAGCACGATGTTCTATTCGAGTTTTCACTTTCTTGAAAAATTACAGTTTTATTTGTGATTGTCTCAAATACGTCTCTTTCTATAAAATAAACTATATGAACACTCGAGAACAAATCACCGATTCTATTATGCAAATTAGTTTTCACTACTTTTAAGCAGAAAAGCATCTCACCGATTCTATTGCAGTTTAATCATTACATATTTTAATCATAAATCCTGCAATTAGCTATCTTAATTCTTAAATCCTGCTATTTATTAGCTATTTATAACTACTTTTAACATTAGATTGCTAATTTAACTTACTGAAATTATTGTACAATTTTTTTTTGAAATTGAGATGAATTATATTGTTAATTTACAATATTAAAAATGACTATAAAGGCTTGGAGATAAAATCTACGTACCCGACTACACATTGACACATACCGAAATACAAATTATACAATACTCCAATTCTTATTTTAGGGATTTAAGTAATTAAACTCTCCTTTTAGTCGATTAGGCTGATGACTCTAGTGTGCAAGACTTGGCTGGGCCTTAGCTATATGGGGGCATTTTATTTATTTTTATTGGGGGCAATTATGTGGATTACATTTTTTTTCTAATGAATCATAGAGTAATACTCCCTCCGTCCCATAATACTTAGCCAATGTTGATTTGCACGTAGATTAATAAAGTAAAAACTGTGTGGTTGATATTGGTGCAGAGGAGAGAGAAATAACTTTAGCCACATATTTGTTACTTTAAATGGAAATGGCAAAGTATTTTGGGACGGCCAAAAAAGGAAAGTTGACTAAGTATTATGGGATGGAGGTCGTATAAGGTATTATTGAGCCTTTATTGGGGGCAGCTGCCCCCTAGTTTGGCTGTACATCCGCCCCTGCCTCCCTTGGCTCCCACAACTCTTTCTCCATCGGCCGCCACAACACACTTAGCGCTATTTCTGCAAACAATTCTTCTCTTCTACTCTAATCGCCGCTCCAAAAGACGACTAAATCTAAGTGACGCACACAAGATGGCAAAAACTGGAACCCTTATTCAAGGGTATTGATGGACTCGGGCCGGGTGGCCCGACCCGGAACCGACCCAGGACCGGTACTGTTCCGGCCCGGCCCGACCCGGTGGCCCGGTCAGTGACCGGTCCGGGTAGGCCCGACCCGTGGGTTTTCCGGTCCGGGCTCGGGTCACCCAAAACAAGGCCCGACCCGGCCGGGCCCGGGCCCGGTTCGGGGCAAAACTATTTTTTTTTTCAATTTTTTTTTTAAAATTTTCGGGTTGGGTTGGGTATTTTGGGCCATTTGGGATGGTTTGGGGGGTTGGGGGTGGTTAATTAGGAAGAGAAAAAAAAAATTGATAATGGGTTCGGCCCGGCCCGGACCCGGTGGTTACCCGGACCGGTCCCGGGTCCACCACTTCTGAACCGCCAGCCCGACCCGGACCCGGCCCGGACCCGAGTCCATCCCTATTCAAGGGCCTTGGGAGACGGCCGCTCATCAATCCCTGCCCTAATAAGTTGAATCAACGAAAATAAATGGGATGAGAGTAGTTGAAACTTGAAATTAACTAGTCCCTTTGCTCATCACATCAAATGTGCTTTATAGTAAGCAAATTAACATAAACATACCTCTTATTTCCCAAACAATTCATACATAAATGTATTTGTTTGAAATTTTAACATTGCT